CAATGAAAGCAACCCAAAACAACATGTCATTCTTCCAGGAGTAAAAGCAGCTAGAATTCATAGTGATTGGCTATATTCAGCAGACATACATTACTTGATATTAAATCCAAAAGTCTTACTGCTTCATTTGAACAAGCAGCAGAGTTAGTCCTTTTCTGTGATTAGAAAATGTGTCTTCTTTATTATGTTTTCAGGTTACCAAAAACAGCTGTCATACAAACACCAGGATGGATCCTACAGCTCCTTTGGGAGACGAGATAGGGAAGGGAATGTATGGTAAGTGATGATAACTTCTATTTCCCTAACACAGGATCTTTAGGCTTTGAAAAATGATCAAAGTATTCAGTGATTCTTATTTTTAGTAGTCGAAATGGATATAGCTCAATTAATTTGAATTCCCTAGTAAAGGAGAGATTAATAAACTGGAAAGAGTGCAACAAAAGGATGGTATGATGACTGGGAGCTGGAGTACATAATGTTCAAGGGGAAATTGAAGAATCTGAATTTGTTCAGCCTGTAGAAAAGAAAACTAATGGGAAATCTAGGTGAAGCTTTCTGCTACCTAGATGAGGACTGTGGAAAACACAGGGTCAGACTGTTGTCAGGGTTGCACAGAGTAAGGACAAGAGTATGTCCTTACTCAAATGGCAACAAAACCAACTCTAACTGGGTAGAAGGAAAAAAAATCTTGCCCAGGAGAAAGCTGCAGCACTGAGACAAATGCCCAGAGAAGATGTGGATATCTCTATTCTTAGTGACTTTCATATGTCTGGAGAAAAGACTGAGCAACCTGACAGAACTTTGAACTTCTGACCCAGTTTGTTTCATAATTCTATTAACTAAGCTTAGAAATTGTTGACATCAATCACTGAGCTGTGTCTATACTTTAACCCTGTTCTCAAAAATGATTTCAGGACATGGTTTTTTAGGAGAAATATCAAGTCTGTATTTAATATCAGGATTTTATCTAAGTTATTTATTTAAAACTTAGAAAACACTTGCTGCCTTAACCTCAAACATTATGAAATTCATTTTATGTCATTTTCTATGCACATCCTATGCACTGGTAAATCTTCTTGGTCTTGTTCACACCATACTTGCTTTCTGCTTCTGGACCACCCGCAGGCTCACTGCCTTTGTGTATAAGTCATTTGCACAAGCCAAACGCTACATCTACATTGATGACAACGTCCAGTCTCAAACTTTGATCTGGCTGGCAAGCAAGCAGAAGTCAGATGGCTGTTTTGAAAATGCTGGGTCACATTTCAACAATGCTTTGAAGGTAACTGAGTATAGTCCCAAACTTCCAGTCCCACTGTTAGGATTGATTTGGACAATTTCTTACAGACACAAGCTTGCCACTACACCCTTACTCTTCCTAGTACTGTTCTCTTGTGTCTCTCATATACAAGCAGAGCATGATTCTTATGTCTGCAATTGATGATGAAACAAAAACAATTCGAACTTTCTGAGTTATAAGTCTAAGACTTTATTTTCCATTACTGTGTTATGTGCTTAGCCATAGGTTATAATGTGCTTTATCACATATATGCAAAAGTCAAGAAAACACATTAAATAATTTTAACTTTATATTAAGTGAACTTGATCTTTCTTATTCCTGTGCACACAGGGAGACAGAAATTACTTCAGATCTCAAATCTAACTGATATATGAGCTATGAATTAATTATGTTGTTTCTTTCTAGGATATTTGTACTAACCAATTCTTTGCTTGTTTTTCATCAGGGTGGAGAAGAGGTTGAATACTCACTCACAGCCTACGTGGTGGCAGCATTGCTGGAGGCTGGACACTCTGCTGCAGTAGGTATTTGGTGCTCTGTTAGTACAGTCAGCCATTTGTCAAAGAGTCCACAAGTCATAGTCCTCACATCTGTATTATTTAACAATGTGGAACTTGAATAATGATTGTAGGACAGTAGCAGTCTGTAGACAGTAGTTTCCAGAACCCTGAAGCCATAAGTGTTTGATGAGTGTAACAAATCAGTTATGTATCTAGTAACTATGGATTAACTTAAAAAACCTCTACGGAATCCAGTTTTAAGTAATAGTAGTCTAAGTAGGTGCAAAATCCAGACTGAATTTGCCCACCCCATCCAGAGTCCACTTTGGAATTTTCTCTGAATTTGCCCAGTCCAAAGTTCAGGCTATTCAAACCTTCAGTCCTGCCAAATCACTCTGTACATTTGGATCCAAGCTGTGTTTCCATTTCCCTGTGGAATTGTTAGTAATGGGAGGAAATGACGAGTTGCTGGTGGGAATACTAGACATAGGGCAATGACATCCAAGTTCTGTTCTGCATAGTATACTTCCTGCATTTCCTTGTCACCCTGTTTTTATGCTGACTTTGTTCTTTTATAATGGGGAAGAGGAGAGTTGTTCCCAAACTGACAAATATGTTCTAGATGTGCTGATTTTTTGCACATTTCTCAGTTACTGTGGTATGGGACATCATTTAAGTATCTGAGACCAGGATGAAAACATTGTCCAGAATAAAATAGTTCTTCAGCAACATTACTTTAGTTTCCAGTATCTTAACAAGAACCTGGTGCCATATGTTTAAGTGAAGCTGTGTAGATAAGACATGGTAAGTAGCGTGCTGGTAATGTCTGAGATGAAGTAGATCTCGCAGAGATAATACTGAAAGGTTTGATACACACTGTAGGCCCTTAAACATGCCATGGATAATGTATATTTCTAGAATGAAGGGGCAGTGATTGCAGCTTAAACAGTGATGGAAGTATTTAAAGAGAAGCAGAGACACAAACCCAAGTACCTGACAAGCCTACTGTGTTTTGCCTTATCAGCATCCTGTCATTCAGAGCGGCATGAACTGTTTGGAGACTGCATTTACCAATGGGGTCCACAACCTGTATAACCAGGCCCTCTTTGCCTATGCTTATGGCTTAGCTGGCAAAGAGAAAAGACACCAGTTCTTCCTGGAGAAGCTGGACAAGACAGCTGTCAGAAATGGTAAGGGCAGTATGGACATGGTACAAGCAATACGGCCGACGGAATGGCCTGTTGTGTGATGTAAGCTATTCTGATGCACAGTTTTCACATGCATGCTGCTCCCTTCCCATTTCATGCCTGCTATGCTACTGAATTTATCTCTAGGAGTTTTTCTGTCTGTCTGGTCGGGCTTCACAAAAGTTTGAGCTGTGGCCTGATCTTCTAAGAATTATGAGACAATTTAGGTGAAGAGAGAGTCCCCCACAAGTCTCAGTCCAAGGTACTGGAAGACTGTACCTAATTTCCTGATTAGGTTCCTCTTCTACACGCTGAACATGCTCAATTCCCTTCACTATGTTATGTGCTTCTGTTTGTGACTGCCTTAGCATCCTTCTGCTGCCCTGCCTTCACTTCAGTCTCTCTCTGATTTATACAGCCTCCTTTTATTAATTCTCTTTCCATCGCTTTCTGTTTTCTTTTCCATAAATAAATAAAACTTACCAAGTTCAGGACAAACACAGCTTAAAAAATTTCCTGAATAGAGGGAGAGACAGAATTGTATGTCTATTTCCTGCAATGATACTGCAATGAATAAAACAGCAAGTAATTTTTCCATAATTTTTACACCCCACTTTTCTGTTTTCAGGTGGTTCGATTCATTGGCAGAGAGAAAATAAGCCACCAGCAGAACATTTCCCTGACTTCTATTCCCGTGCCCCTTCTGCTGAGATTGAAATTACCAGCTATGTGCTCCTGGCTTTGCTCAACAGAACAAAATTTGCTCCAGAAGACTTGTCCCATATTTCCCGCATTGTGTTCTGGCTTATCAAACAACAGAACCCATATGGTGGTTTTTCCTCCAGCCAGGTAACAATTGGGTGTGGTAAAAAGAAAGCTTCATACATAATTTAGTTTTAGGTAATGACAATTTACCTGAGTTCCAAGTTAGCAGTAGACAGCAGTCACTGTTGCCACAGCATTATACCAGGTCTTTTGGGTTAATTGAAATCTGTTGCCCCAGAATCACAGAATGGGTCAGATTGGAAGGGACTTCAGTGGGTCATCTGGTCCAACCTCACTCCTCAAGCAGGGTTATCCTAGAGCACACTGCACATGATTGCATGCAGATGGTTCTTTAATATCTCCAGTAAGGGAGACTTCACAACCTCTCTAGACAACCTGTTCCAGTGCACAGTCACCTGCACAGTAAAGAAGTTCCTCCCTGTGCTCAGGTGGAACTTCCTGTGCATCACTTTCTGCCCATTGCCTCATGTGCTATTGCTTGGCAGCACTGAGAAGAGCCTCGTTGCATCTTCTTGACACCCTCCCTTCAGATATTTATAGACATTGATGAGGTCTCCTCTCATTCATCTGTTTTTGAGGCTGAACAGGCCCAGCTCCTTCAGCCTTTCTTTATAAGAGATGCTTTATTCCTTTAATAATCTTTGTCACCCTCCTTTGGACCTGCTCCAGGAGCTCCATGTCTCTCTTTACTAAGAAGCCCAGAACTGGACACAGCACTCCCAATGTGCCTCACTAGAGCTGAGAAGAGGGGCAGGATCAACTCCCTTGACCTGCTGGCAAAGCTCTTCCTAATGCGCCCCAGGTGGCCTTCTTGGGCACCAGGGCACACTGCTGACTTAGGGTCAGCTTTTTGTCCACCAGGACAAGTTCTACAAGGAACTGGTATCTTGTCTCCTTAGCTCCTTGCAAAGCCCCTCTCCATTTATAAGCACTGATAAAGCATCAAGGAAATAGGAGCTGTGCTAATCTCACGTACCATCTTACACTTGGGTATCTAATTAGGGATCATTCTCTTTTCAGGATACTGTTGTTGCTCTCCAAGCTTTAGCCCAGTACGGATACCTCACCTTCTCAAAAACAAATCTTAACACAGTCAAAGTCCACTCTATGGAGTCCCCCAGTAGGATTTTCCAGGCGAATGACAAGAACCGCTTCTTACTGCAGCAGGCTTCCTTGCCTACTATTCCGGGGAATTACAGTGTGGAAGTGAATGGCACTGGCTGTGTTTATCTGCAGGTAAGCAAGCTGGAAACTCAGCACGACCTCTCTAAGATATAAGCATGGGGTTCTCCATACTTTTTTCCTCTGCATATGTCATGCCAAAGACACAAAACCCTTTAAGTCTGTTACCATCTCACACTTTCCATCTCTTTTAGACCACTCTGAGATACAACATCCATTTGCCAAATAAAGTTGCAGGATTTTCTCTCTCCGTAAGGACAGCGAATGTATCCTGCACAAGCAACTCTCCACCAAAGTTTGACCTTGTCCTCTTCGCCAGGTAACTTTCTTTCATTGATCTACCCTCTTGCATTCACAGTTTTGTAAAGCATGCAAGGAAGGATTTAAATACAAGTAATTTGCTGCTGTGCAGCTATAGGAAGAAAAACAGGATTGTTGGAAGCTGAAAATGTTATTCACTGATCTCCTTTCCATTTGCAGACCAGACTAACAGAACTTTTCTCATTTTAGTTACACAGGAAAGCGTAAAGTCTCCAATATGGCTATTGTTGATGTGAAGATGCTCTCAGGTTTTGTTCCTGTAGAATCATCCCTGAAAAAGGTAAAAAATGGAACCAATGTAAATTATAAACCCTGGAAACATAAGAAGCTGATAAAAATAGTCTCTGATTAGCAGATTGGAGCCCCATGGGAATATTGTAAAGTCCCTGGGCAAAGCCTTCTGTCACATACTCTGTGTCTCAGACTTGTAGCTGTTCATCTGTTGGAGACAAATCTGCTAGGAGTTGCCAAATCCAGTAGTCCAAGAGAAGTGAGACTGCTGCAGCTTCATATCCACATTCATATCCAACCAACAGCAATGTTCAGTGTGTATTCGCAATAGGCAGGCATGCACACTATACATGATATATTCATATATACGTATATACATATATACATATATACATAAATACATGATGGTCACACAGATCAGTAAAGACAGCACTTCCACAAAAACAGATAACACAAATGGCCTTATCCTGTTCCCTTTTCTGGCTGATCACACTAAAAGCTCATTGTGGAAAAGATAAATAAATAAATATACACGTGTGCACGCACAAGCAAATGCAAATACACAATGTGTCTCCTTCTGGTAACTGACCTAGGACACTCATTCTACCCAGTAGCTGGCCCGGGATCCTTGTTCTATACAGTTGGTGGCACCTGGGCATATGCCTCCTCAAGACCTCAGCCCCAATTCAGCACCTGGAACTGAGGGCTCCATCACCACATATATCCATGGTGGATTTACACCTGCTTCAGTAGCGGGCTACCAAGTCCCTTTACTAACTCACCAGCTAGTCCAGTTTGGTATTCACTGGCTACCACACACTGACATACACACCCACATACAACAAGCCTGAACCTTGGGGTCTCTGGCACCCCAAACACACAGTTTCTGTTATCTGTGGTCCCTTCTTCAGTGATGGGCACTGCCTACACACACATCCACACAGAACAGAGAGCCCTTCACCCAGGAAAATAGTCAGGAACAGAGACTAATAAGAAGGCAGGAGAGACTCTGGTGACCAGGTGCAACTGACATCTTTTATATAATTTTCCACTGTTTTTCATTCCAATTGGACTTTATCCTTCTCTTTGTTACTTCTGGTTCTTCCCCTAAACATCTTGTGATAATTTTTATTGAGTCAGCTTGGGCTACAGAAATTAATTGTAAATTTTTGTTGAAATGAAAGCATTCTTCAGTTAACAATAAAAGTCATAAGCATCAAAGCTGCCTAGTAAAACTGTTTACCACTGTGACTGGCTTGCACACATCGGTTATGAACACATTCCGCTTGCATTTCTTTTTTTGGCGACTAGATGGCAGGGTGGCATAAAAGGAGCGTAGCAGCCACTTTAAATGTTATGGAATCTGTAAATCTCCTCGGCAAATCTCTGCACTAATATTGCTATCTTTTGCCTTGTTTAAAGCTTCAGGACGAGAATTCTGTTGTGGATCGTGTAGACATCAAGAACAACCACATATTCTTCTATCTTCAGAAGGTAACTTTGGGAGTTTTCCTTTCAGTTTTATGAAATTGGAAATTTAAAACAGACTCACAGACAGAAGAAAAATCTCATTAATAGCAGATTAACACTACACTTGCCTTAAAGATGTAAAGGTACTTCACTCAGTCCAACATCAAATATATATATATAGTTGTGTGTGTGTGTGTATGTGCATATATATATATGTACTCAGTATTGTAGTCTACAGTGAAGAGATATGCATTTATTACTTTTTTGTGAAGCATGTTGTATGATTAAATAGCATTTCACAAATGTAGCTAAGTTGCATTCCATATTGCAAAAGTTCCTAGTCTACATAATATTCCTCAGCCTCTATGTGATGCTTCTTATCAGTTCATCTGGGAGTGCTTCACAGGGAGTCAGTATCATCTCCCTCCCTTTCAGGGAGGTTTCTGTATGAAAAGAATAATAGAATTATAGAAATTATTCACCAAATAGTCTTTCTTCAAATCCACGTCTCTCCAATTTGAAGACAAGGATGTCATGTGGGACTGTTTCAAGGCCTTACAGAAATCTAGGTAGATGACATTGGTCGATCTTCCCTTGTCAGCTGTTCAAATATGATGAAGAGTGCCTTGGCAACAACATCAGCCAGTTCTCAGGACCCTGAGAACCCTGTCATCCAGTTCCATAAACTTGTGCCTATTCATCTTCATCAAATGGTCTCAAACCTACTCTTCACTTACTGTTGGAGGAACTTTGCTCTCTCAACCCCTCCTGCAGCTTCAGGGACTTGAGAGACATGGGAAGCCTGACTGCCAGTGAAGACTGAGGTGCTCATTGACTACCTCAGTCTTCTCCATACCAGTCACCACCAGTTCTCCCTTCTCTTTTATAGAGATGGTACACTCTCCTTGGCCTTTCTTTTCTTTCCCATGTACTTATAGAAACCCTTCTTGTTATTCTTTGCATCCCTTGCCAAGTAATGATCCATCTGTGCTTTGGCTTTCCTGATCTCATACTTAAACATCCAAACCATACCTCTGTACGCTCCCTCAGTCACTTGTCCTTGCTTCCACTGGCTATGCATTTCCTTCTTACTCCTCAGTGTGAAGAGCACGTCCTTGCTCAGCCATGCTGGAGTCCAGCTCTGCCTTGTCTGATTTCCTACACATGGGCTCTATGAAAAGCAGCCTTAAAGAGTTGCCAGCTCTGGTCTAAAACTCTGTCCCTAAGAGCAGTTTCCAGGGGATCTCATTCACCAACTTCTTAAAGAGCTGGAAATTTTCTTTTTCAAAGCTCAGAGTCTGAACTTTGCTCCTCACCAGGCCCATGTTCCTTGAGATAATAAACTCACCCTGAGAACTGTCACAGCCAGGCTTCCTCTGCTCCTAACCTCCTTAATGAGGTCATCTGCACAGGGAACCACCAGGTCCAGTAATGCTTCTCCTCTTATTGGCTTGTCCAATGCTTGGATCAGAATTGTTCCTCAGTGTATTCCAGTAGTCTCCTGGGTTGCCTACAGCCAGCTGTGTTGCTTTCCCAGCAGATGTCCCTGAAGCTGAAATCCCCCACCAGGATGACAGCTTGTGAGCATGATGCTTCCTGGAGCTGATGCTGATGCTTCCTGGCCTTGTCAACAGGCTCCTCATAGTCAGGTGGCCTGTGGTAGACCCCAACAGCCAAATGTCCTTTGTTGGTCTGGTCCTTGATTTTTATCCACAAACTCTCAGCCTGTTTGTGACTGTTTCTCAGAGGCAGCTCTTCACAATCCATCCATTCCTCAATATAGAGGGCAACACGCCTGCCTGTCCTTCACAGCCTATCTCTTCTGAAAAGCCTGTAGCCCTCCTTGTAGAGAAGTGCTTGTAGAAAAAATAATAGTCTTGCTGCATCAATGATGTTAATAAAGGGAATGAGAGAGGAGAAAAATATACTTCAAACCAGAAGGGATCTTAAAATACAAGAAGGGAAAGAGAGGTGAAGCAAAAAGAAATAGTAATCATATAGATGTCTCAAATGGTAATTTTTATAAGTTGGTCTCCAAGGATCTAATAAGGAAGACTGTAGTTAGTATTCTGTATTCACAGAAAAGCTGAGATGTTGAGATATGAAAAATTTACCCAGAAGGGCACCAGTGATGGAGACAGTTATCCGGAACCCCTGTCCATTGCTCCATTCCTTTAAAAAGGTCAGCAAGATAAAATCACAGAAAAATGGAGAAGAGAACAGTGACACCATCCCAGGCATGCAAGAGAAAGCTTGAAAAGCAGAGAAAGAGGAACAAGGAGGAAAGTTTGGGACATTTGGCTACAAGAGTGTGGAATGAGGAACAAAACCACAAGGAAAATGTAGATATTAAGTTCAAAGTTATTAAAGAGAGAAAAGTATGGAGAAAAGTACTAGGGATATTGAAGGTGATTTTAGTTGGGAAAGGCAAGGAAAGAAACAAAGAGCAACTTTCAATTACAGGATGAATGCTGATGTGCTGAAAACCAGGGAATGGTTGAGCTAATTTGCAATGGAAATATGAAGAGAAAGAAAGAAAAGAGCACACAATTTTAGCAGCAACAAAATGCATTTAGTAGGAGCTTTTAAACAATTACTTGATTTGACATCAAGTTTACAAACTGGAGAGAAGTGCACAATGACACATTTTGTCACACAGTCTGATAGAGAGATGCATCTGTTCAACCTTGGCCTCAGGGATAGTTATGAAAAGATAAGTTTTGATGCATTTTCTTGTCTTGCCATTTCCAGGTTTCCCAGAAAGAAATCAACTTCTCCTTCAGTGTGGAGCAAAGCCTGCCTGTATCAGATATCAAACCAGTGCCTGTACATATGTATGACTACTACGAAACAGGTAGGTGACCTGAGTAGGCCTCAGTAAAAGGCCTTTGAAACCAAAGGAGAGACAAATGGAGACCCACTTAGCAATTCTGCTGCTTTTTGATTGCTAAACTGCAAAGGGTTTGCAAGACAGTTTTCCCCTCCTGTGTTTTGATTTCTTGCTTCCTTTCAACATAAAGCAGATTAGAAGGTGGTACATCAGGAGTTGCTTTCTTACAAACCATAAACAAAAAGAAATGTGGTTCCACAGTTTGAACCCGATGCTTAAAATCAATAATTGAAAAACAGCAATGTTGCTAACTTCTCTGATCTGGATTATCTAATTTTTTTTTTGCTTAACATTGCCATAGTAGGCTGCAATCAAAAAGATTTTCCTTAGAAGAATTTAAATACTTAAGTAGGAATGACAGTTCCCCTGAACTAAAAAGGAGTTTAAGTAACTAAAAATAGAAAATTAAGTGCCTGACCACCTCTTTTGAAGTGATCTCGAGGAAGTATGGTTGCATTAGACATTACTCAGTTGTGGAATTTATGTTATTAAAGCTTTAGCTCAGGTTTCCCCAAGCTTTTCTCAAGCTTTGAACAACCTTTGAGTACTGCATCCTAGTGGATTAGCAGGAGCAGCAATCAGAGAATTGACCCTGGAGTGCATTTTCTGCCAGCTGATCCACATCTGGCATGGTCACAGCAATGATTTGCACAGTCAGAGGAGAGCATTGGTCTCTAACTCCGCACTTCTGCAAGTGGGTGCCTTGGCAACTGGAAGACTACCACAAAATTTATCATGTTTTCTGCTTCGTAATGTGTTAATCACAGGTGTACGTAGAGTGCAGTTAGAATGATTTCTCACTCTCATGGAAATGTCTTCATCCTTTCTTCTTTCCAGATGAATATGCCCTTTCAGAATACAACACACCGTGCTCCCTGCCTTCCAACTGAAATCAGATATGTGCCAGAAGACGTAATGATTCAAAAAGTATCAGGCAAGCATTTTTAGAGGAAGAAGTGGATAAGAGATTTTGTTGTTTCTGGGAGTGCAATGAAAAGCAGTAGAATAATAAGGAATTAGCAAATCCCATACTGCAGTAGATCAGAATGACCCATTCTGGCCCACACTTCAAAAAGAACTTGGGGTCAGTGTGGATTAAAAACTGCAGATAAAGTATTCTTCCTAACAAGGGAGATACTGTGCAATTGTTAACCCTTACCATCCATCTTCTTTGAAACTCATGATATATTCCAGTGGGAGCTTTATGTAAAGGTAAACACCTGAAATGTGTGTTCTTAGCCATAGATTCCTCTTAAGAAATCCCAATCTCAGAGAATAATCAGCTGTTGCTGCTTCTGTAGATTTTGTTTTGGTCTTTACATTATCCAGAAGGAAAATCCTGAAGAAATTACTTTGATCCTCACCTTTTTCAGCAATTGAACTGAAAAATTTACAGATGTCAGAACTCTAGTCAAAGGACAACTTTTATGTAACTTTTGTCTCTATTTAGAAAGAAATGTTTTCTTCAGATTCTCATCTCATATTTTACTGCTCTTTGTAATAAAATATTCTGACTGGCAATGCTGTTTGTTCCAGTCTCCACTCCTTGTTCTATCTAGAAATGAGTGATGTAAGGTATTTCATAAGCTAAAACATTCATACCTTGGACAGGTCAATCAGTGACATCTTGACATCAGTGACATCTTGTGGCACAGGCAGAATGGGGGACCCTGGCCGATGTGATGAAAGCTTTCCACCCAAAACCTAATGGTGAGAGAAATGAGAGAGCTGTAACACAAAAACTCTATAAAAAGGGGTTAGAGATGAATGGTAGATCCAATGGAGCCCTTGAAGTTAGAAAATGGAAAAGGTGTGGAGGGGTTGAAAAATAGAGCCACAAGGAGCTTGCGATGGAGAGACAAAGTACAAGAAATTTCCTACCGTACTTTCTTCATTTAATGAACAGGTACAGCAGACAGCCACACACTGTGGCTACTGTCCCTCACAGCCTGCAGTAACCTGACATGACCTTCACGCTTACCAGATTACACTGGTGGAAGGAGACAGAAACCGACTACATATCCATAATAATCTGAGCAGACATTTACCAACTGAATCATATCACCAAGCTGTTGCTTCTTCAGTTGGGGTGTTAAGACACAGTCACAGTTATAGTCTTGGAAGAGATTTATTTATCAAGAAACTGGTCTGCTCAAAACAAGTTTTGTTTCCTACAAACACTTTACTCAACAGCAATGTGCCTGATGTGAGACAGACCACACAACAGCAAAAGACATGGTAGGAGAGGAACAGTCCATTGTACATCCTGAGAGCGCTGTTTAGTAAGGTGTCAGCCTTGCACAGAGATGGCTCAGATGAAACAAATCCTGTTTCACTGAGCAGTGCAGGAACCTTCGTGATAAGGGGCAGTCATGGCAGAAACCTATAGGCTCAATGTAAACCCAGAAAGATGTAAAACAAGTTTGGAAGCTGTAGAAGCACCTAAATGTTGGTTTGGAAGGGACTTGTGGAGGACATCAACTGAAACCTCCTTTTCTGAGAATCACTCAGTAGAAACTTAGAATTTCTTCCTAAGATAACCAGAGGGAGTTAGGGTTGCTCAGTATGGAGAATAATCCAGGGACAGTTTAGTGCAGCCTTCCGTTACTTAAAGGGGGCTTATAAAAAAGAGGGAGTGACTTTTTGCATGGGAAGATAGTGATAGGACAAAAGGGAACGGTTTTAAACTAAGGGAAGGTATGTTTATATTACAAGTTATGAGCGAATTTTTTGTCCCTGACAATTCTGGTGGAATTTCTATCTTGTGAAAAAAGGACATTTTGAGAAAATGATGTTGTGAGGGGAGTAGCTTTCAATTCTCTCAATTCAGCTCAAAACCTAGAGTTCCTATCCCCAGCATTTCTCTTCCCATCAGCAGCAACCGCTGAACACAATCCTTGACCCAAAAGCAACGTTTTCATGTTTGCATGAGACCTGTGGTGACTTTTGCTACAGACAGACACATGCTGAGAAATAAGTTATGACTCTAAAGAAGTTAAAGGGCCACATTGTTTTTCACTGACCCCAAACTCCCCTTTGCTCTTCCATTCCTGTCAGCAAAAAAGATTGTGTGAGCTTCAAGAGGGGTCAATCAGGCTACTTCACCTTCTTCAGCTGTGTAAACTCAGCCTACTGTTAAACAAAAGCCTTTGTTTAATGCCATTCCAATGAATGGCCAACTGCAAGTCTGGTCAGATGGAAACTGATACGAAATGCAGATTCTTTCAAGATCACAGCATTTAAATTTTGCTACAAATTTTCAAAACACTAGGCTGAGAGGGAGTGGCTGGAACAATGCCAGAAGTACCTAGCCAAATCTGCATTTTATAGCCTTCTTTTGCCTCTATAACTCTTAACTCCAGTACAACTAGTGACCTTTTTTTTTCCTTATGAAGGTTGTGAACCTCAATGCAAGTCAGATAAAAAGATATAACAACTGACAGGAATTTCAGATACTGAGTTTTTAGGATCATGTGCATCAATCATAAAATTGTAAGGGCTGCTTCCCATCTCCAAAAATGCCAAATACAATACATTTACACTCAGTTCTTTAGTTAACACAGACACTAATCTGCTGTGTTTGTATATTTTTCTATTAAAACAAGTCCTTGAAATCACCTAAAAAGAATGATCGTCTGATCCTTTTAGCAGAAACATCTGATTGCCAGGCAAGAGAAGAAATGCCTCCAACCCAGTAGCCAGCAGTATGAAACTTTCAGCACCCTGTGGAACCTCTTGATCAGTGCTGCCAGTAGAGGACTCACAAAATAGCTTAGAGAACTATAAGTCTTTTGATATGTATCGTAAGAAAAAAAGACTTACTGAAAGCCAGAGCAAAAGGGACCCAGAGAATCAAGAAGAGAGCAAAATGCCCAAGAAGCCAGTGAAGTATTATGTTGAGGTTTAGGCCTTGCATGCTGGAGGCTTTATAGAGAGCACATATGTGGGATCCTACAGTGCCTAGATGCTACTGCACTTTATTTTTGTTAGATAAAACAAGAAGATTCACCATGACTTTACCTTTTAATCTGCACCGTTTATTTAACAAAGTGAAGTCAGAGCATTCTGAACTCAGAGCCATTCCTGGGGAATAGCCACAGATTCAGCAGGAGTGTAAATCATATAGACTCTGCCTGTTCAGCACAGCTCCAAGGAGTTGCCTGTCGTGGGCTTCAGTGTTGCTTTTCCACACATTTCCAAAATCTGAATCCTACCAAAGCCAGTGTGAATCTTCCTTTATATTTCCCTGGGTTTTATCAGGATTCAAAGTCTGGTGAGCCCCTATGTGGAACAGGTAGGACTTATGGTTTTGCTGTCATAGCTAAATGTGCCATCAAGTTTTGTTCCCAGGTGACCTGCTCCATCTTAAAAAGGTCACCTGCATCGAGTGTTCTTACTCTTCTATAGTTAGAAAGGTACTCAAGAACCCTAAAACTACTGTGAATCGACCTTCCCTTTAATTTTCCATGTGCAGAAAGGTCATCCAGCTGCTCCAGCTCTTTCAGCATTTCCTATGGGACCCATCTGCTGCAGTCCATGGGAATGTGACAGAATAGACTTGAAAGGCTTTGCTCAGGTGTGAACAGCCAGGACTCTGCCACTTTGTGTAACAGCAGAGCACTTGTGTTACCTTTGAACTATCAACTATGTGTGACATTAGACATGGATGGGATACTCCAGTCATTCCCTCATGGCCACACAGTGCTCTCCAGCAGAGAGTTTTGCCTAGCACTGGTTGTATGTGAGTTGGTAGTCTTAAAAATATAAGTTCTTCAAAAGAGAAAACTATGCAACGAGGACTTTCTCTAGCTCCCTATTTGTCTGAGGTCAGCTTGCTTGACCTGCAACAACTTGGAGACTTCAACTGTTAAGAAATATAATAAAAGAAAATAAATAATGGCCGGTCGTCATCAAGGACACATGCTCCAACCTCTTCTGTACAGTGCTCAGTAGTCCAATATATAGCTGCAGAATATATTTTCACTGGAGACAAAGCAGAAATAACCTTTATGTGAGAGGAATAAATAAAAAAAAAACGTTTCAGGCATAAGGTCAGGGGTTGAAGGCACAAACAGGCTCTCCCTGGGGGGCATCCTTAAAGTAGCACAATTAATATATCAGGTAACACAAAAGTATTGTTGTGCTGCCAAGTAGATAATAATAACAGATAAAGGGAGAGAAAGCTGCATGCTCTGAATAGCATTTGTATGCCTTCCCTAAAGTGTCTGGAACAAGTTCAATTCCTGGTATGTCATGGTGGAAAGAAAAAGCCTTTGCAACCTCAAAAAATGGATTTAGAAGCTACATGTTGGTCAATGGTAAAAAGATCAAAGTACTCATAAAGAGACAGAGCCTCCAGCATTTGGTGTTATTTAACCAGTTGCGAGAAACTCTTAAGTCCATACTCCTCCTCACAATAGAGCCCTAGCAATACCATGTCTACATTGAAGACAGACTTGAAAAAAATGAGAAAAGGTAGCAACTGCTCATTTCTCGGATTTAACTCCTGTGAACTCTTGGTTCTGCTAACATCATTTTACAACCTTGAAGCGAGATCCACGCTTTCTTTCTCAGGGCAGTTGGATTAGGCATATAGCATTTCCCCAAAAACTACATGCAAGAAATTTTGTTTGGCCCACAAAGCTGCACTCCTGTAATTACATCAGAAGAACTGTGTAAAGATGTTGCTGCTCTATAGTTCCCTTCTTGCAGACTGACCTGTACTTCAGACAGATGTTTGGATCTGTTATGTCATCAGAAACCTCAACTCCATGAAAGGACCTTACAGGTCCTTACAATTACATCAGTAAAACCCTTGTGAGATCTGTAGTCCGATGGCTGAAATTCCAAGGGGAAGCAGAACTCCTGTATGACCCCTCTCAAATCACATCAGAAAAGAAGGGGAACCAGCTACTGCACTGGAAACTAGTGGAGGGAAGGAGAGGAAAACAAGAGTGACCTATGGTGCTTTGAACACCTATAAATCTGTTATTACAATGCATTTATGGGGCGTTTCTGCAGAATGAAATTTAAAAACAGGCTTTCCATATAGCAGAGTAAATTGCAATATGAAATCCTCAGAGAGCTACTTCTTTCTGCATGTGACTGTCATGTGTTGTTACTGAAATTAAAGCAAATGCTTCTACCTACAGAGAGCAGACTTTACAGGTCTGAAGAAAAGAGAGTTGTGTGCAGCTGTGGAATAGAAACAAAGGTTAAGGATTTGCTTAGAGGCTAAAAGGTCAGCGAATGAGTTGGGCATCCTTCAACATGGAAGAGATGGCCAGCCTCAAGTACGTTTCTGGTAGCCAGGAGAGCAAATACATGGCAACATCATGTACAGCTTGTGTCAGCTTTTGGTACACAAGACGATTTCTCAGCACCAGATGTGAGTTGATTGTTAGCATGGGAGGTTTAGGGAGAAAACACACAGTCAGACTAGTTGTCCCACTAGAGGAGAGTGCTTAAATAGTTATATTTTTTTAATTACATGTCAAATGTTCCCCCTTGATACTCATTATTAAGTATTTACTTTTCCCCCTTTAATAAAAACTTGATTTATATTTACAAGTATGAAGAATGAACCTACTAAGTACCAGAGATTTCTGGAGGCCTTATTCAGATATTTTATTACTGAGCTCTTCACATTGAATGGAACCCTTGCTGCTGCCTATCAAGACCACAAAGAAAGGAGGACTGAATAA